CAGAAAAATTGTTATCCGAATTTAAAATTCTTAAATGAGATCGGACTTTTGTTTGACTAAAGTACACAGAAAGAAAAAAATATTATCGTAATGAAAAATTAATCAATGAGATCGAACTTTTCTAAAAGTACGGCACATAGACACAAAAAATTTTGCCGTGAATTTTATATTTATAAATGAGATCGAGTTTCTCTGTAACTACGGCATACAGTTAGATAAAAAAACTATCTGAATCATTAGTTTATAGATTGGATAGAATCTTCCTAAAGCTGGTGACCTACAAGTATCACCTGATACAAATATAAGCTGCCTAATGCGAGATCGAACTGAGGCTCATGTAAACTCAGAAGAAAAGAAAGAGATAGAGTTAGTCTATCCCTAAATTGTTTTCACGTCTATGAAAACTTTGGGTAACATGATTGACTCGTTATTTTAGTGTCCCAGCATGGATGATGGCTCTGCACTCCTGCAGAGTCATGACCAAAGGTCGTCTCTTTGTATGCAGTGTCATATATGTGTAGTTCAAAATGCAATTCTAGGAAATACTTGAAGCATCTCAGATAATTCATCAATTTATAATTCATATCATTTCTTTTTCTGTCTTTCTGTCTTAGCTACAGGTGAGTCCCATGACATAGACAAAATCATTTTCTATGTATTTAATACTATTTGTTTTTCCAAAATCATTTAGGCTTTGTTCATTAACAAGTGAAAAACCCGATAGAGCAATAATGGCAACGAGAGCACGTAGTGAAAGTCTTCAATAACATTTTCTAACGCAACCGATCATTTATTTATTTTTATTCATGCAACAAGAAGTTGAACGAATTAGTCGAATAGAAACAGTGAAGTTTTTATAATTAAGCAATAAATATCTATTCAGTAACTTTTTTTTCTTGGCCAGAATGATATGAGTAGTTTTAGTTATTACTTATTCGCACATAGTAATAGTAATACAGATTGTTTAACGAACTTTTTGAATCAGATGGCGAAGTTTTATTGTCACCTTAGAATCATTATTGCCTGATTTGTTTTGTTACTGAGAGGACGTGAGTATGGGTAAGTGTGTGCACACAGAACAGTCAACTGTACACTCACATCTACGCCAAAACTAACTCCCTCGAGCAGAAAATAGTGTTTTCGGCGAAGCCAAGTTCCATTTCAATGAATTTTCAGGCCAGCAACTTGTTTTCTTAAGGCTTTGTGTGATTGTATCAGATTTTCTTATTATTTCAGTACCTTTGCAAACAATGTGATACTTGCAATCAGGGTAGAGTCAATATCCCTAATTACGACAGTAAAAAAATTCACTTTGACTGTTCAACTGCGTTCCTTCTCAATTTACTTTCGAAAAAAGTATACTTATATGTGCATGATCCTTAAAGTCTTCTCTTTCAAATGGCATGCTTTGAACTTCTCTCACTCATAAAGTTCTCGAGAAATCAGCGGTCTCCATTGAAAACCACTCATTGTTATTATTAGAGTTACTTTCCGTAACTATGACACTCAGCTATTTTTTTGTTCCTAATTACGAGAAATGCACCAAAATCTCTCTACTATTGGAAAAAAGATAAATATATCCTTGCATATGAAAAGTTCGATAGATTCTAAAAACTTTTCGTAACACATTTTCATATTCTGGAAAAAATCAATTTTTTCATGTCTGAGGTCCCCCTCAAGTATTCGAAGAAAGCTCTTTCCTTTAGTCTATTTTTTTTCTCAATACAGCGACAGAACAAAGTATCATGTTCATGAATATGATCTCTTTTCTTAGTGTCACTAAGAAGCTAGCAGAGATTCAAGGCATTTATAGACGACTGAAAAATCAGTTTTTTTTGTGGAAACGGACCACGGGCTTCGTCGAAACTCTTCACTAAATACGCTCATTCGACACAGAATTATTTCCTCTACATGAATACATAATAGTTTCTTATGCAAAAGCAATTTTTTAATTTTCCTGCTGGAATACCAACCCCAATGGTCATTCAGTGAAAAATAGTGCATTTTTTGGCACCCACAGAAACTGCATATAATATAGCCCATAACACTTATTTTTTGTAGCTAATGTGTAAGTGAGCTAGAGCTTTCGAACAAGACTAGTTCGGTTGGTTTTGTTGGCTCCTTCTCGAACTATTCCGTATATGTGAAGATTCGAATATCTGCGTCGTTGAATGCTAACCTAGCCGTAAGATTTCATGCTGAAATGAATCTTAGTAGAAAAAGCTTATTGAGTTACTCATTTGGTATAAAAAATCTTCATGATTGATTGTAATAGGTGGAGTTTCTGCGAGTGCAAAAATTGACGTTTTTTCACTGAATGACCATTGGGGTCGGTATCTCAGGGTGAAAAATTCAAAATTGGTTTTGTATAAGTAACTCTATAATATATTGTAGCAAAGAAAGTAATTCTGCGTCGAATGGGCGTATTTAGTGAAGATTTTCGACAAAGCCCGTGGTCCGTTTCCACAAAAGAACTGATTTTTCAGTCGTATATAAATGCCTTGAATCTCTGCTATGTTCCTAGCGACACTTAAAAAAGAGACCATAGTCATGATCAGCATACTTTTTTCTACCGATGTATTGAGAAAACAAATAGAACAACCAAAAAAGAGTTTTTTTCGAATACTTGAGGGGCACCACAGATACGAAAAATTCATTTTTTCCAAAATATGAAACTGTTATGAAAACTCTTCAGAATCTATCGGACTTTTCATACACTGTAAAAAAAAACGTATATTGATATACCCTCAAAGGGTTTATTACTTTTGTTCCATACCCAAAAAGGGTTTATTACAATTCCCATTGAGACAAGGCCTTAAAAAACGCATTAGCAACCTTTCACAAAAAAGAATCCAAAAACGAATGAGTACACTATGATTCCTTTTCGTTTGTATGCACAATGCACGTCACAACGTATTTTTTTAAATTTATCTACCAGATTAAAATTAAGGCTTGGGAACTTACTGCGTTGTCCTAGGTTCGATCATGAGATTATTTGGTTGATAGCCCAAGATGTTATCTATTCGGTCAGTCGTACGATAACAAGATGAAGTAAGAAATGGTACTTAAATCGAACGAAATTTTATAGGAAACTGAAGATGATATAAAGTTAAGTGGAACAATTGTTTTTACATTTTTTATTTTCATGAAAAAAATACCAATATTTTCCATTTAAAAAATTATTTCTTTAGAAATAAAAATTATTTTTTTAAATATTTAAATAAATTAGGAAAAGTTCGCTTTTGAAATATATTTCCTCAAAAAGAATTTTAAAAAGTTTTAAAAACGGTTTGTTCCATTTTTTCAAAAATTTTCTAACATACCGTATTGCTTATTTTTCTAGAAATCTATAACGTATATATTTCTCATACTTTTATAAAATTGTTGATCAATTTTTTAAATCGTTACAAGTACATGTGTTAAAATAGCACATCTTTTTCTGAAGAGGTGTATAGAGTGCAGGTCGTAAGAAATTCTATTAGAAGATGTAGTTGCAAAATGCATGAAATCATAAATACGGTGTTTTTACGAAATTTTAAGATTTTTTAACGTCTTACAACACGAGAGCGTCAAAATATGTATTCGCTGTAACGCATTTTTCAAGGCACTTGTTTGACTGGGTTGTCCCATATGTCAGAAATCGATCTTCATAGCTCTTTCCCATGTATAGTTTCGGCCAATTTCAATAGAAAAAAAAGAAATAGCTATTTATAAAATATTTTTATACTTGTACTATTTGTTTGATATTGAACTAAAGGTAGAAAAATATAAGATTTATAAAGACATATGTGAAACGATATATTCACTTTGAATACATTGCATCAATAGACCGAAATAAAAGGAAGGAAATAATCAGAGAGAAAGTTTTAATACTTCCGTTTTCATTTTTAATTATTAATGGAAGTAAATAAAAGAAAAGATACAAATATATAAGTAAATCACCCTTATTTTCCATTAGCTATGGCGACTGACCTAAATTAAAGACAAACTGAAATTATTTTTGAAATGTTATTACTTACATTATTTTGAGCGTATTTTCAACCAAGTAAAGGAACAATATAAATATATTGAAGTAAAATACCTACTCTAATTTGTTTTCTTGGATGGATATAAAAACAAACTTTTTTTCTGAATACCACAGCGAGTTTGGAATAAATCCGCAGCCACCATAGTATCTTTTCAGATTGATTTAACTCAAAGTTTTTGTATGAAGTTGCTCACGTGAAGCCATCTGATTTTGATTTTTAAACAATGTGCGGATTGAAGTTTGGCTCGAAATGATTCAAAATTTATTCGCGAAATTAGCGCCTCTTTATCATACCGTTATGTTTTACGAAACAGGTACGAAATGAAAAGTGCATCGATGCATGAATGGCAGCATTGTGAGAAAATGATTGGATTAACATGTTTATTATATCAAATTGTTTGAAGTGCCCTGTGAGAAATTTTCATGATATATATATATATATATCAGTTGAACAAGCGTGATCCTTTGAACGAAGAATAAAAAACCCTTTTGATGATGGAGTAGAACAATAAAAACCTCACTGTAGAATAAAATACCCTTAGTACGAAAGTAATAAACCCTTTTCTCGAAACCGTATATTAAGATACCCTTGGAGATAAAATCATATACCCTTCTCCTTAAATCTCAGATTAATAAACCATTTTTTTCTTGTATCATCTTTTTTCGTACCCTTCGTTTCATAAACCCTTCAAGGGCTTAGCATGATTTGTAGGAAGGACAAGGGTTTACTGTTCTACTCTTTTTATTTACAGTGTACTGATGCATCCCTATTTCCGACCAATTTTAGGAACTGAATTGACTCGAATTGGAATTGGTTCACTCCAAACCATATTGAAATTCATTGATGTCTGCTCGTTGTGTCCATCTGACGATTGCCGGATCGATTTTATTCTGTACGATAGGTATTCTTTATATCAGGGAAAATTCAAACTTTAAAAATCTATTTCCTGCCACACTCTCGTCGTTCTTTTCAATGAGTGAAAAGACTAAAATGAGAAACCAATCTTCAAGAATCTGGCCTGTTAATAAACTAATCGTAGTCCCAGCAATATGGAAAGAAATCAACTGGAGCACTCCGTCGAGTTGGCCACTCTGGCTACGCTCAGGACTTGATAAGACCGCTACAGACGTGACACCATATCGTGTTTTTTTGTATCAGCGTTTTGATGATCAGTCTAGACGGCCATATAACTGGCCGTATTGTCGAAATGTTCACGAAGAGGCTGGTGTTTATTTACAATTCATCTACGATTACTATTATAATTTACCTGAGAAAATTCTTTTCCTTCATGGAAATCCATTTGCTCATTCTAAAGATCCGATCCGAACAGCTTTGTGTATTCGCGACGATGTTCATTATACCAATATCAATTCATTATGGATACAGAACCGACGTTGGACTTCTTGGGGCCGTAGTCCGCTGTTCAACGAGTCTTTGATGTATCGATGCGCACGTCGTTTGTTGCAATTATTAGATTTCAATGCTGACCTCCAATTGAACCCTGATATGCACAATTCGAAAGATGATAGTATTATCTCAACGTATTGTTGCGCGCAGTTCTACGTAACAAAGCAACGGATTCATCACTACACTTATGAACAGTGGTCAAAACTATATCATGCTAGCCAAGATCCTTATTGTACCACACATCACGATCAAGAAGAGCCTGGGAGAGTTGGTGTGAAATGGTTCGGAGGAAGTCTTGAGCATCTTTGGCATGTGATACTGGGACTTCAACCAACCAATATGCCAAAGCCGATGGTTGGTACAAATACTGATCGCTGCCATTTATTTCGCTCTTCGTGTGACGGTTCCCCATGTTGACATTTTCCTGAAATTTTGCCTATCTTCGAACTATTTCAATGGTCACTCTCTGGTTTTCTCTCAACAGATATCAACATAACTGTACGCTAATATATACAATGGTCTGCAAAAAAACTTGAAACAAATGTTAAACTAGTTTTAAAGCCTCGTTTAACTTGTTTCAAAAAAGTGTTTCTTTATTTAATGTGTACTAATATTTAGTTTTTCAATATGTAGTTCAATATTTGATTCGTTCTCCTTTCGAATCAATAACCAAGAGGCATCTGTTTTTCATGCTGTTGATCAAATTGATTATAACATTTTTTTCGATGTTGTTCCATCCTTCATCGATAAAAATCTTCAATTCATTAATATTTTTTGGCTTTCTTTTCTCAATCCAATATTTCATGATGTTCCAAATGTTTTCAATCGGATTGAGATCAGGGCTATTCGATGGCCAGTCCATAACGATTGGAACATTCTCAGACAACCATCTTTCAGTTTTTGAAGATCTGTGTTTGGGGTCATTAGCTTGCTGCAATCACCATTTAGTCCTGAATTGACGTTTAGCATTCAGAATTAAGTTGTTTTCTAATATTTCAATGTAATAATCACTAACCATAATATTTTGAAACGAATGAAACCCGATTCTTCCACGATAACTAATAGAACCCCAAACATGAACTTTTTGCCGATTCTTCGGGATTCTTTTTTTCTTCTGCTGCGTATTTTGACCATCGACGAATAGTATTTCTAAACAATTGAAAGGAGTTTTCATTAGTAAACATTGTATCTTTCCAATCATCATTTAAATGTTCTTTGGCCCATTCGACTCGGCGCTCTTTGTGCTCTTCCGTTAGCATTGGAGTATTCAATGGTAAACAATTTACATATTCAAGACGATTTAAATGGCATGAGATTGTGCTAGTAGAAACAATTAGTGCACATTGATTCTGTAATTTTTCAGTCAATTCATGCAACGTAACTTCACTATTTCGTCTAATAAATTGACCTAACGCTCGAGCGCGTTTTGTGTCAATCTTACTTTTTTGACCATTACCCTGTCGGTGTTTCAGAGAGCCTTGAGTTCGTAGTTTTTTCAATTGATAACTAATAGTAGACAATGGTATCTTCGTATCTCGATGAATTTTTCTGGCCGAACGAAGTCCCAAGTTCCAATAATGTAATACAGATATTTTATGTGATTTTAAGTTATTTATCTTTACCATATCACGTTACGCTTAAAAAACAAGAGAATAGAAATTAATCAAATGTACGAATGCTTTTAGTGGACAATATGATAAGCATAAGTATATAATAAGATCGAAGTAAAAGCGCAAGAGAATGTTTAAAATGTAAAATTTTTATGCACTTAGAGTGTTGCAAGTTTTTTGCAAACCATTGTATATATATATATATATAACGAAATTGCATTTTTAATTCATAATAGCAGTGTAACAAACCATGTAACGGATTTTATGAAACAATGGCACGGGAGAAAAGCGGATCCCGGGATTGTGGGTCCTCTGGATTGTCATCGTATCTGCTGGACTGTATGAATCGTATAGATCGCTACAGTATCCCGGATACTAGAATATCATGAAAATAGAAAGGATCGGAAAATGAAATGATGTATTCGCGAATCCGATTTTTTTCTTCGATAAAAAGAGTGAGGCAAAAATTACTGAGTAACACAGTTATCATTTCATTTATGCCTTTCTATAAGTCAATTTGCATGCAACATCACAGAATTTGTCTTCAATCAAAGTAGTTACAGTTTTCTAATGTTGAAATATGTTCTGGAAATAAACGTTTTAACACTTTTGACGTAAATTGTTGATAAACATACTGCTCAGTTCCCAAAGTACGTAAATGTTGCGAAGGACGCTGTCCACAAAAGAGTGCATTTGTTTGGTCTTTTATTATAGGCATATTTTAGCGAAAACAGATCCGTTTTGCTTGAGTGCTCAGTGTTTACATGCCTTAACTTGATATAATAATCATAAGAAATTAGTTCATCAATACTAAGAGATGCGTAGTAAAATGATCATTTTTGTTGTACTATATGAATCATAGACCGAAACGAATAAAAAAAGCACCCAGCTCGATTCGACTCGACTCAAACAACGAATTATCAGCAGCGGATTTTTTTGAACAGTAATAATTGGCAATAGCAGGGTTTTTCAACAACAACGATACTTTACAAAATTAATAAAGTTCATAAGAATGAGCCAACATAAAAAATAATACTTCAAGCTAGATTTGTCGCTTGTTGTTGCCAATGGAACACAAGAAAATCAAATTGTTGATGGCTGAAGGAAAGGTCGAGAAACAGTTGAAAGAAACAATAAAAACTTAAAAAAACTCGAGTCGATTTGCCGAGTACTCGATTCGGCTTCGATCTATGATATGAATTTAGATATTTCATGAAGAAATCATGTTAGAAAGCTGATATTTTGACTGTAGTAGAATTTCAAAGAGCACGTTCTGTGGCAATAATTGAGCGTGTGGGATTGGGTCCGAGTGTTCATTGAAATGCGTTCGCTAGGTTAAGAGTATTTGCAGAGGAATCCAGTAAGCAACATTCATCGCCACGCCAGACCCAGATGCACACAGACAAAGCAGCACACCCACACCCGACTAATTTTAATGCCCAAAAAATATCTACATAGTCTGCCAACTTTAGAGTTGATCCTGTCGAATTAAAATTTAGGGAATTATGCGTGAGACATATGGGTGATGAACAGGCGATTTACCCATGAAATATTAGCAAAGGTTACACTCAAACATAAAATATACTGATGTCAACACCTACAAGCATGTCTCAAAAGCTAATAAGCCCCAAGTGAACATGATTACGATGTTTTACATGACATGCAAAATTTTCTGTTGCAATTTCACAATGTTCGTAAATAATATGTACTTATTTCCATTGTTTCTAGTTTTTCGGTGGTTCCACGTTCGTCGGCAACATATATTGTATTGACACTCAGAAATGGATCGAATTCAGCGAATTTGTTGAGTTGATTAGCAATAGTCGATAGTAAACATAATAATGCATTTACTAGATAATTTATCGATATGAAATATGATGAAAATCTGGAAGCAACAGCAAATCTATCTAAGGAGACGATAAGCCTGGCACAAATATACATACCAACTGCATCTATTCATCATAGAAAAACTTTTTCACAAGATTAAGAGTAACATACGATTGTGACAAAAAAACAATTGCTGCATCGCCATGAGGGTTCTCTTCTTCTCCGTCAAGTAATAAAATAAAAAAAGAACACCTTCTTTTCTTCTTATTCTTGATGATTAGTTTTACTGTGTTAATTTGATGAACAATTGATATTTTGTTGAATTATATTAATTTGATGGTATGTAAATGTAGGTTGGTAATGGAAGATTTACAACTAAGCTTGCAAAGAAAGCTATATCATTTTCAACGATTGCACAAGTTAATCGTTAATATATATATATCGACTATGCGCTTCTTCCATGAGTCGATTGATACTCGAATGAAATGTTATTATGTTGCGAGCAATTTCAGCTTTGTCATATTGACAACTTTTGACATTTGGTATTTTTTTGCATAATCATCATGGTCGCCCTTGTCAAATGCTTCTTCTTTCAAGGTAAAAACTAATCAAAGAAAATACCACATATAAATAGGATGCACTCATCGTATTCACATCAAATCCTATGTGCACACATTTTTATTGTTTCTTTGGTTTTATGTCAAGATGAATCATAGTATTCAAATCATTATTGTCTTGTTCATATGTTGTTTGCCAGTTATTGCATGCGAAACTTACAAATTTATAATAGAGAATAATTGGCTTCCGATGCCTGATGGTGTTCGTCTATCAGTAACACTCACTGTTCCGATTTTAACACGTCGCGGTGAAACTTTTCCAGTTCTACTCCAGTATAAACCCTATCGAAAAGATGACAGTTTATTGTACGCAGATCAGTCCGATGCTCGATATTTGGCACGACGAGGTTTTATAGTGAGCAAAATTATCATGCATTTAATTACGATGTGTAATTTTCTTTCATTTCAGATTGCTCAAGTTGACATACGTGGTACCGGCTCATCAGAAGGTATTCTAGTCGAACGTGAATATAGTACACAAGAATTAAACGATTGTGAGCATATTATTCAACAGCTCGCTAGCGATCGTCGTTCGAATGGTCGAGTAGGAATGTATGGTATAAGTTGGTCAGGTTTTAATACTCTCATGATGGGTACTCTGAGACGACCACGTGCTTTGAGAGCTCTGTTTGCTGCACACGCTACTGACGATCTGTACAAAAGTGATATTCATTATCCAGATGGTATCATGCATTTAGATCAGTATTTAATTTTTATCGATCATAGTAATGCAATACCTGCTCCGATAGATTATAATATGAATGCTCAATGGATAAGAGAACGGTTTAGACGACGACCTTGGATTGATGTTTATCTTTCGCAACAGCTTGATAACTCATTTTGGAAAGAGAATTCAATCAAATATGCTTATGATAATCTCACATTACCTGTTTATCTTATTGGAGGATTGTACGATGCGTACGTTGTTGATTTCTATTGGCCAATGGATGATCAAAAGATCGTTTTCTTTTTCTTTTTCTAGTTATAGAGATTCTCCTCTGCGTATCTACGAAAAAACTCGTAAAAACTCACCGAAAATCAAAGTAACTATTGGTCCGTTTGTTCATGCGATGCCTGAGAATGTGAATCGGCATCCAGGACCTATTTACGATGGTAAAGCCGAAATGGTTCGATGGTTCAGTCATTGGCTTAAAGATGATCAAAAGGATAGTGAGATCATCAAAGAACCAGACATCACTCTTTTTATTCGAACAAGTCTCACCACTGGTCATTATCGATACGAAACGGAATGGCCCATTGTTCGCCAAAAGATACGACGTATGTACATGTCCAAAGATCACAAATTGATTGAACAAAAGCCATTAATGACAAATTTAAATGAAAATAAGGTTTTCAACAATGTGGATATTCTTGAATATCGACCATGGATTGGTTTTGAAGCTGGCACTTGGTTAGGTGGATTAACAGATGATCAGCGACCTTTTGATAAAGATTCTCTCATCTACGATAGCGAACCAATCAATCAAGCAGTTGAACTTATTGGCGTTGTTAATGTTTCACTTCAGGTAATAACATCGACAGGAACGAAGCTCTCTAAGTAGTAATCATGTTTCTGGTGGTAGGTCAGTGCTACTGTTCGTTTAGCTCATTGGATTGTACGTCTGGAAGATGTTGATCCCAATGGTCAAATAGCATTAATCACGACAGGAGCTTTAAACGGAGCTCAGAGGCAAACTCCTCCGGCCTATCTCAAACCTAATTGCCAATATACGATCACATTTCCGCTTCGTTTTACTACCTGGACATTTCTCATTGGCCATCGTATTCGTATTGCTGTTTCTAATGCCATGTTTCCTACCTATTGGCCATCTCCATTTCCTATGAATACGTCTCTCTTTTTTAATTCATCAACTACATTTATTGATTTACCTGTTTTACCAGTTCTTTCCTCGTCAATTCCCCCAGCATTCACTCAAAAGCAAGCTTCACCTACCGATACACTTCCAGAAATGTTCTCCGGAGCGAAACCAAGAGTGTATAAAACATATGAAACCAATACTAAAACAACAGTCAATTTTGAACGAATTTCCTATGAACTTTTACCTAACAATTATTTTATGTCGGCTTTACAGACATTTAATTTATCATGTTCTCATCAAAATCCAGGTGATGTACATTGGTCAGGTCGCGCTCAACAAACCTATGTGTTTGATGTTCATGGATATCGATCCATAGATGATGTACCTCTCAGAAGTGGTGTTCAAGAATTGTATCCAAATATAGATCTATCAACGAGACCCTACTTTATTCTGTTGACACAATCGGATGTTCGTTCCGATCGAGAGTATTTCTATGTTAATTTTAAACGCCAACTGTTTCGATCAAATTCTTCCACGAATAAACCATCGGAAGAGTTCATTTTCACAGGAAAACACAAGAGATTATTTCAATAAAATCACCGATTAATAGCTTCATAGGAAGATGTTTCTTTTACATTTTATTAAACACTATCATTCGTAGACGATGATTGTCATCGTTTGCGATTCAGTACTATAAATTAATGATCAGATGTCAAAATTAGATAGAATAGAAATGACTTGTTTAAAGGTGTGATAGTGGGATATTCAATTTTACGTTATGCTCTGGAGCATTAGCTGAATTGTATTAGTTGTACTTAACAACATTGGAGAAAGACAGAGCTTGATTCAGTCGAGATTGTTTGATCGCATAACGCATAAACACCAAGCATAATATTTCAATGGCCTTTATTGTGAAACACGATCTGAAAGGAGTGTTGAAGCATATGGGGTAGACATTTGGGGGGGGGGGGGGGGGGGGGGGGGGGGGGGGGGGGGGGGGGGGGGNATCTCAGATTAATAAACCCTTTTTGTTCTTGTATCATCTTTTTTTCATATACCCTTCGTTTCATAAACCCTTCAAGGGTTTAGCATGATTTGTAGAAAGGACAAGGGTTTATTATTCTACTCTCTTTTTTTACAGTGTGGCCGTGATTGGTGAATTCCGGAAAAGGGGTTTCATCGTATTTCACATTTTAATCCCACAGGGATTGCGCTAACAGCTTTTTATCATTGCAAGACATTCCTTTATACGGTAAAGAAGAATTATGATATTCTCTATATCTTTATTTCAAAGAAAAATGGTTTTAATCAATAACTTCAGTGACAGTATTATGTGCCACGAGTTTTGCTTTGATAGAAAACGATTAAAATGATTGATTTGAATATTGCCTACAAGTTCATTCGTGTGTATATTACAGCAACCATTCTTTTTTAACGAGCGAACATCACCAATGAACATTCATTCTTTCTTTTCTTATGTACTGTCTTATGTAATTACGATTTTATACATAAAAAAATCAATAGAAATGAGTTATGTCTAAATAGCAAACAAAAATTAAGTTAATTAGAAGAAAAGTATTCAAAATTTGACGTGCAGAGAGAGAGTTAGATTGATCACATTTTTATTACGTTTCCCACTTAGCAACACTTTTGATTACTAAGTAAGCCAGTTTTATTTTAAAAATGAATGATATTCATGAAAATAATTTTATGAATGGCGTTGCATAGAAGAAATTGTAAAAGAAGATAAATTTTGAGTTCTCGCATCACTATTCTCAACTGAATATCGTGCATAACAAGAAATGAATAGAATTTATTAAACAATAAATTTAATTAGTATGTGTGTGAGGGTAGGGGTAGAAGTATTGGTTTGGAAGGAGAAGTTCCATACTCATACCAACACACTCTAAAGATTGCTAATACAAATGAGTCGTTCCTGTTGTTTGATGTTCGGTCATGCTATTTCCGCTTAGGCACATAGCCAACTGGAATACTTTTGATAGTGGTAGGATACACTTTCTCATCATATGACGGCTGATCGACTATTTCGTAATGACCTACAAGTGTCATTCGAACAGTCATCCATGCTCGTCGTTGATCTGGTGGAGAATACTTTCCTTACATAAGTCACCTGTGTTTGATTTCTTGTCCATGTCATCTAACCACTGTTGCACTCGCTCAGCATAATATTGGCACCGGGGCTTAGACACGTTGCCGCCTACTTGCAAACTTCCACTAAGCCAATTTTGATAGTATTGCTCCAAATCGGGTTGATTGTTGTCGCATTTTGATCCACAACCAGGACAACACGCTTGACAGTCAAGTCGTTGACTGATCACTGTGCAACAGGCACGCTTAGCTTCGTCACTGAGTTCTGACCTCCTGTGTTGAATTTCATCGGCCATTGATTGTCGTTGATTACCGGTTTTCAAAAACCTTTGACAGAACTGATCAGGCTGTTGAAAATTGGCCGAAATACCGACCATATTTTCAGCCGTGAAACTCGGAGCACAAGACTGGGTGTGGGTGTGAGTGTGGGTGCCAGTGAGGATATGAGTATGAGTGTGAGTGTGAATCTCCGCTACCTAATCACCCACACCCTCAATATAGACGTCGCTATGGACCGTATATGTTTATGTGAATTTCATTGCCTATGAGAGTGGTTATCGAAGAAGACACCTTTAATAAAAGTACAGGTTCTTATTTCGATTCTACATATCCTCTGCACCTATCAACTATTACATTTTCCATCTTAACCGACAAATAATGTTATCCGAATCAAGTAACACCTTAACATTTGTATTAGAGCTCTATGGAACGATTAAAAGCTCGTCCCGTTCCACCTCATTCGGTTACATGAAAGTAACGCACCCTTCTCCAAATTTATCTAAGAAAAATTCAGCGACTTTATACTTTCCTTGTTCAGCGTAAATCATCATTCATGTACGTTCAACTTATAGGTATGGTGGAAAAGGATAAAAAGATCAAATACAGAAAAGAGGAAAACAAGCGAAGAGAGAAAGAGCGAAAAAGAAAATCTTGAAAGAAAAACGTCGAATAGAAATAGCCCCGAAACGTAAAATATTAAGAGAATAAAAATAATTAAGATGAGTATCTTCATCGAAAGATACACGACTCTTGCATTCAAAAACACTCCAAGACGATCATCTATAGTGTAATTAATATCGTAAATTAATTAATAAAATGTTCGAGCAATAAATGAAAGTAACGGGTCATGATTTCTGGGTCAATTTCGCGTCAATAATCATCTTTTGCCTTTAGAATAATATTATTTATATACGTATGTATACACTGTGGTATCATATTCACGATGCTTATATTAATATTATTTTGTTGTAGTGCTAGTTTTACTTGATCTAAAAAAGCAATTATTAATAAGAAGCATCGACTTTCCTCATTATGGTAGTTGTTGTTTTTGAAGAAGAAATCACATTATGTACAGATTAGCATAAAATGAAAGTGGCTACTACAATATTGTTCTGATCATACATCAAACTATTAAAATAAAATGTGTTTTATGATCACTCGTCAATCGAATAATTTCGCATAGTTCATTTCGTTGACTGACAATGGACTTTAATTTAGAAACGAACCCAAGAAGCAGTTATGGATATGTATCAATAGGCTGGAAATTAGTAATAATGAAATGTAACTCCTTCTATGATATGTGTATATAAATATAGATATTGTACTCTGAGAGATAAATATTGGAAAAGATGAGCAAGCGAAATGAAAATTATTTAAAAGATTGGAGCACGTTCTCTTACCATCATAATTTCCTATATTTTACTGTTTGCAATTTTCCTTCCAAATATTTTTTCAATGCTTTTCCTTGCGGTGCTTTTTTCATTCATTTAGTTTATCCTTTTCGCTCAAAGGCGATGCACTGGCAACAATGTGTGACGAATCAGCGTCGTATATACTTGGTTGAACGAAGCAGTGAATTCACTGCATCCCAACCCACAGACGATCATATCCCACCTCGTCCCGTTGCACGTTCAACTTTATCTTCCCGGCACGTCCTGGAACAGAATTTGTTCCTTCTCCCTCGAATCTCTGTGTAACAGATAGTTGCAGATCCAGGCTAGCTCAGTAACCAGAGCGTAAGATTCTTAATCATAATGTTGTGAATTCGAGTATAATCTTTTCAAAAATCGTAAATAGATTTAACTATTAATTCATGAAAAAATTAAGTCTCTGCGACAGACGATAATGGAACAGTTATAATACACGTTGGGCGTTGCTTTTCCTGTTTTCGGTTCGCTTTTATGTAGTATTTCTGCTTTAAAGAGGTCATTATCAATTTTTCTTGATTCAAAGACAAATAACTTGCATGAGAATAACTTGAATATGATGCAAGAGAGAATCAATACCAATGAAAAATTTTCTTCGTTATATTGTATTAAATCACATTTGAGTCTTTTATAATTGACTATCTGTTTAAGTACTTATTCAAAAAGAAGAATCCAATCATTGTATAATTTCACCTGCTTTGAATAAGTTCAATTTTACCAAAGAAGCAGATTTAAAAACTTGAGATAATTGATTATTTTTCAACCCTAAGTTAATGGATGAGATATACTTCTTGCTGTACCTGTCAGTAATTAATATTCTAATACGATCGTTTGATTCCACGTATTCCCGTTTATTTTTGTCAGCCTACCTATTAACTGATAATATCATGATGATAAAAATGGTTTAATTTTACCATTGGTGTTTCTCAGACCAATATTAAAAAGCTTCTTCAATTTCAAAAACAGCTACTTGTCAGATACTTCAGATAGAAAAGAAAATTATTTCAAGATGTATTGGTTTCAACTGCCATTCAAGCTAACAGTTATCGTGATAGTTTTCTTAATACCTTTAAAAAATACAAAATACCATAATTCGAATCGATTCAAAGAAATATTCCCATATTTATTTCATTAAAGGTTGCTTGAGAATGATACAATCATGTATAAAAAAAGTTTACAAAACATGATTGACTATTACAAAGAAGACTTGACAGTAGAGAAACGAAGAGCTCAACGATATTAGTCAATCAGCATGGCAAATAATATTGGTCCATGAGCTGCATTCACACTGTAAAAAAAAGGTTTTCTACCGAACCTAAAAAGGATCTGAGCACGGGCACACGGTCAGATCCTTTTTAGGTTTCGTAGAAAAAAGGTTCCGTATGGAACTTCTTCTTGGTAAATGGAAAAAATGGTTTCGTACACATGGTTCCGTACGAAACCTCTGCGAAATTCTGCTCAAAAGGTTTCGTATAAACCTTTCCGAGTCATATTCATCTGATGAGGAACCCCTTGGAAGTGATGCGTGGTTTTCGAGTTGAACTGCCGTACATATGGTCGACTTAAGTGAGATAAGGGCA